GAAAATGATTCTAAAGTAAAAAAAAAAACTAGAATAATAGAAATAGCTCTGGTTATTAAACCTTAAATAAATAAATTAAGCCTTAGAAGCATCATTACAACAAATTTATAAAGATTTGAAATGGACATGCAATCGCATGGAATTAGCATTTTTAGAAATTACTTTTTTTGAAATATCAACTTCTGTATTATTTATATTACTAAATCCTAGCATTTTGATGAGAATGGAGATGCACTCTCATTCAAATGAATTAATTAACAACAACAAACGACAGAGTTTTCTTTTATTTAGGGAAATCTACCAATTTCTAGAAATTAAGTCTATTTCCCGTATGTTACATCATAAATTTTAAAATAAAGGGTTGCTTATTTTAATTAAGAGTCCTATTATTATTTTCCGTTTATTAAACTAAATGCAATTATACCCGTATTCCTAACAATGTAAATGGGCCTTAATAATTTATTGGTTACCACTCATAATCAATTTTGTTACTGTCCATAAAAATAGAGAAGGTTTTTAACTGATAAAAACTTTAGTTTTGCACTTTAACTAATTATATTTACTTATTAATACTTGCCGAAAAATTGTAATTTTATATCATCAAACAATATTCACATTTTATTTTTATTTTAAAATACATAGAAAAAAATTGTTTGGTTTTCGTCCTAAGTAACACAGTTGAAAATGTTTGTATTGTAATTTAAAAATTAGCAAACTTTTACAAGTAAAAATTTTTTTGGGGGTTTAAATGCCTTCATATGTAATCATATAAAATATTTAACACGGAATAATCAAAGAACTACATTTAATTAAATGAATTTTGTTTAGTAACAAAATTGAACACGGTAATGCCATGCTCGGAAATAAACCCGTTTTATTCCTAAATGGTATATATGTATTGGTAACAAACATTAAATTACTCAAATGTTATATTACTTTTAGCAAATTTTTTAATAAAATCATTTAAAACAAACACATTTTTAAAAATCGTAAAAAATATTGGCCGTACAAAATTTTTGAGAACTGCTCATTTTATTCGAAATTTACATTTCTAACGACTTATGGGCCACCTCACTAATCATAATACATACACTGAATTTTTAGTTAAACATTTTTATGCACTGATTATTTATCAAATTAGTTATTACTAATTTGATAAATAATCAGTGCAATACTAATTCCGGAAGAATGTTGTGGTCACAGTACAAATCCACGAACGCAAAGACTAACCTGCTTGAAATAAAGTTCATTTTTCTTTATTTTTATTGAATGACAGAATTAGTAATAATACAAATAAAACTGCACTCTTAAAAGTCTTATTGCCTTAAGCTACGGTCCATTTCAGTTTGTTTTGACTGTACAGATTTAGTGTGACTGTAATTTACGTAGGTGTAATTATTTTTGGGATAAAAATTACCTGTATTAAAAATGATAGGAATCGATTCAGTAAGCGATTTTGAACAAACTACTTTCTCAAAGTGCGTTAATTATGTTACATGTTGTATATATATACAAGAATTGCTCGTTTAAATGTAGAAGATATGAATATCCAACCAGAGGAACGCAAGGTAAATAGGAATGTCCATCTGCAGTCCACCATAATATGTACTCCTTCAGCAGCGAAATGAATATCAGAAAGACATAAAACTTTTATTTCAGACGATTTGTTTTAATATACCTAATCTTAACGTGGTTTCGGTCAATTTTATGATCAATGTGGCAATTTTAACAACGCGTTGAGAAAAAAATCTTGAGTAGAGACTCATCAGCAATTACATAAAATTTGAAGTCTAAGGCTCTATCCTTCCATATATGTCAACTCAAGTACCTTTGTATGAATATTTTATAGGCAAAAGAATGTGTATTTAAATAAAAATTTTATACCCCAAAAGCAGAGATACTTTACCTTTATAACTCAAGATAACATACGTTTTACGTTTTACGTTGGGTATGGTATATAGTCAAATTTAGGATACGTGTTTTTGCAAACCATAAAATACTCGAAAGACAGAGTTTTGAGTAAACCATATAAAGAATTTGTAGATAGAAAACTAAAAATAAATAACGTCATAGCAGTTTTAGTTACGTGACTGCGTTAGCCTACTTGAACAAGTTTGAGACATGCATAAAAATGTAATATGCCAAGATCTGGTAAGGAATTGGTCACATTTTTTCCTTTTTCATTAATTGTCTCCAATTCCTCGCTAGACCTCGACTTACTTAGACGTATAACAAAATTATCCTGAAATTTCGTTAGGCAAAATTCTGACTTAAAGAATAAATTTTAAACTAATATTAAACATGTGACTACTAATGTGATTTTAAATTGAAACGAATTTAGTTTTGTGGATTCCACAGTTTCTCCTGGAATTACTAATGACACGAAGCTCCGACGAGCCCCATGTAAAAATTAGCAAGTAGCCTTAGTTTTACAGTATTATGCTGTAAGAAAGGCAAGAAATTTCACCAATAGTAAGACTTACATCTTGCTATGGCGGCAATAAACGCGCTGATATTGAATCCATCTTTGTTTTAAAAGAAGGATGTAAAGGCAATTTATAAAATACATTGTAAAGCGCCATTTAGAGAAAAGTTTTAAAAACATAAATAAATTAACTTTAGCCACGCGTTAATATATTATTTATAAAAATTTAATATATATGTATAAAACATAAAAAAGCTTTGATAAGAATAAAGATATTTAGACTTTCAATACTAGGAACAAACACGAGCTTTTAATCTTAGTTACTAGATGCCACAGAATCACAAACATCTCGTGGGTGTCGTAAAGGGCAACAGAGGAAGCAAAGCATTTTATATTTACAAAATATGCAGCAGCTATTCAGTTACATTTACATTTTATTTCTATACCTTATTTTTCAATGTTATAGTTTTCAATTAGTGGTAAATGTCAGTAATAGCTAAATTATTTATAACCGCACGTTAAATTCAAATTTACAATTAAATTTGTATGCCATTAGCGATTAATGGCAACTAACACAAAGTGTAATTAGCGGTGGAGATTTATGCATAATCAGTAATCGCATTTCACGTCACGTCAAGCCTCGCCCATGATGTTTAGTATACGATGGCTAGAATATAAGTATTTATATTTCCATTAATGTTATATTATATAGCATTAATAGAAATTTACCAAAATGATGAGGACGATAATGTAGTTTTTGTCATTGAGTGTGAATCTTTAAGTTAGTTAATTTAAATAATTTAATAATAAAATAATTTAAAATAATAATATTATTTAATAATAAATTAATAATCAAATACTTATTTAGTAGTGTTGGACGCCTTCCAACTGTGAGTATTTTCACAGAGACAACTTAGTAGCCAGGATTCTACATCAGGAGCTTGCTCTAAAATTTATGTTATCGTGGATTAGAGCTACCCTATTATAATTACTTGCCAGATGCAGTGCTCGTAAATGACTGCATCAAGCTTTACTGGGACTGGCCCATTTTCACATATTCTATTATCTATTCTTACGAATATTATGATATTTTTGTTCGACGTCACCATTTCGCATGACGAGAACCTCGTAAAAGCCTGGCTCATGAGGTGATCTATATGTGCGGACCGAAATTATTACAGTAGTCGTTGCTCTTCTGGTTAATCACGGTCAGCCTCGGATCATTTATGCCGATTAGGATTCTGTAACGGATCGCTTTGGGTTTGAATATAAAAGGCGGTTCTCAATAAAGCCCGCATCGTCTACCGGGCTCTTTCCCTTTCCCCATAATCCTAGGCTGTTTTGTTTCCCCGTTTAGACTTCACTCTGGTTGGTTTTTGTTTTATCTGTTTATTTCACAAGATTTTATTGCATTTTTTATTATTTTCATTTTAATTAAAGATTAAATTGGATTTAATGAAGGAATAAATTAGGGATTAAATTAAACTATATTAAATAAAATTAAATATAAATAAAATAAACTAAAACATAAATGCATTTTAATTCTATTGTTACCGTTTCGGAAGTTTTCATAACCAAATTGAAAATTATGAATTCAATTTTCATCTCATGTGATAGATCGTATACTCACAGATCTCAACTAGTTTTCTATGGTTAATAATAGATTGACTCATCACTAATTAATTATTAATTATCCTTACGATTAGGTCTAATTTAATTATTAATAATTATGATCACAGATCATCATATATGAATTCATTACAGCCTATCAAAAATCCACTGCTGAACATAGACTTTCTGCATGTGTTGTAAATAGATTGCCTAGGTTTTCAGGATGAATAAAAACACTTGTTAACTTGTCAGGCGGCAGCTGTAGGCAGGGTAGAGTCTCATTTTAATATTCCTTTTGTTCTTCCTTTTTCTGGTAAGGCTAGAACTTCACAGGAAGCCCCATCCAATGGGTGCGATATTTATATGTTTTCCAGCTACTTTCTGAAAACGTTTGTTCCTCAGCCTCTCTGACCACCATTCTTTATTTTATCTTATATCTATATATATCTTTAATATACATATATTTTCCTTATGTCTAGGTTTTATCTTACATAATGCTACTTACAATAATATATATATAGGAACCCGATGCCACTCGGTTTAGAAATGATATTATATAAAATATTATATCTATATAGAAATAATATAAAAAATAATATACTATAAAATTTTTCATGTTTAAGTGATAGCGCAAATTCGGAAGCTTCCTTTAAATACTGCCGCGCTCCCCGCTTCACTACTATTTAACTCTTAATTGATCTGTTAGGTCCCAGGGACTTCACGCGATTAAAAAGTGTTGTGATTTCTTTGTTTTGGCACTCAAAGGCTTGTGCGTCACAGTACCTTCATACAGTAGCGTGCGACGCGCAGGGGGAGAGAGGACGTGCGTCTGTGCTTCATCCATCGGTGAGTTTTTAAGCTAGTAGAGTCCGCCGGACTCCACCAGGGCATTTGTGTAACTTTTTTTCAATATCACTTATTATTATTTTTGTTTTTTTTATTTTTTTTTGTTTTAGACTGGAAAATGGCTTCGAATAGACAAGTAGTTAGCGTAGATCAACCAAATGCTGAATCTATTCTACTCGACTGGCTAAATGACGAAGATTGTACCGACGATGAATCTCAATCACTTGAACCATCTCGAGCTGTGATACCTGAAGAACTATTATCTGACTCTGAAGATGACTGTATACCTTCTGATGACGACTCGGACTCAGAGTATTCAGTTGACTCAGATGATGAAGATGTGTTGACCTCACGTGAGAGCGCTAAATATTATTACGGAAAAAACCGATTCAAATGGTCAAGCGAACCCCCGTCAAGAAACATCCGCACAGTCTCACAATATTCTTCGTTTACCTTCAAACCAAAATGATTTAGTTACAGAGAATGGTCAGATTTCTCCTTTGGATGCATTTCAGCTTATTTTTGATAATCAAATGATAGAAACGATTTTAGAGTGGACTAATAAAAAATTGGAAATAGTTCGTGAGACCATTTCACCAAAGGAGCAATGCGCTTTCAAGGAGACGAGCCAAATAGAACTGAAAGGTTTTCTCTCTCTGCTATTATATAGTGCAGCATTTAAGTCCAATCATGAAAGTGTATTGTCGTTGTTTGCAACTGACGGAACAGGGAGACCTATATTTCGGGTTTCTATGTCTAAAAAACGTTTCCTTATACTACTTCTAGTTCTCAGATTTGACAATTTCACTGATAGAGAAGCTCGAAAAATAATCGATCCAGGCTGTGCTGTTACTGAATTTCTTGAAATGTTCAATAAAAACTCACAAGCAAGGTATGTCCCAGGTGCTAATGTTACTGTTGACGAGATGCTGCTGGCTTTTCGTGGAAGGTGTAGGTTTAAAATGTATATCCCCAGTAAGCCAGCCAAATATGGAGTGAAGGTACAATGTCTAGCTGATTCTGCAACATTCTACGTATATAACACTAACATATATACAGGAAAAGGATCTGACTCTTACACATTATCAGAAGAAGATAAGAAAAAAGCCTGTTCCAACTCACGCAGTACTTAGACTGTGTAAGCCAATATTTAACACCAACAGAAATATAACAACAGACAATTGGTATTAGATTGGTAATAGAACTTTCACAAGAACTTAAAAATAAAGGATTGACTACAGTAGGTACTTTGAAAAAAAAAGAAGACGTGTGGCACTCGGGGACTGCCGCGGTAAAGCTATTGCATAGCATTTTGTATCAACTTATGCAATTATAATTATTAATATAAGGACTACGTAAATATTCAGTACAGCAAGATTGGAAGAAAAATGACGTCTAAATATTTTTTCGTATTTAGTAAACGAATAACTAGTTGGTAAATTAATCATGATATATATCTTTTTTTTTCACCGGAGACTAAAATGATATTGCTTTTTTTCGTAACTGCAGATTCTGTGGATTTATTTCATTATTTTGAACAATATACGAAATTTAAGTGACTAAAATTAAATCTAATCTGAACCAGAATCATAAAAACTGTATTATTCGTGCTAAACGAATCTAATAAATATCTGTTATTTTTGTCTCCTGCGAAAAAAACAGACTATAGGAATCTATCGAATACCTACATAAACAAAATATCACCTATAAATAAAATATTACAAAGCGGAATAACTAATAAGAGTGGCAACGTCGCACTATACAAAGGAATTGCGTAGGTGGCACAAGTCGCGGGCTCGAACTCATTGGTGGGCGCGGCCAAAAAGCACGTCGTCTCACCTGGCAGCGTGCCACTCGTACTAAATTATTAGGCGCTGCGTTATCGCTTTATACTATACCTCTATGGCTCTATAGATACCTAATATAGATTGCTTATTTTATTATGTTTAGTTTTCCCCGGGTGGTCATGCAGCGATCACTCAAGAGTTCACGACGCCGAAGTATGAACTGGAACAGTCATCGCAGTTTATATCCGTACTAGCTGTTGCCAGCGGCTTCAAACGCGTGAACTCGAAAAATTATCCCACAGGAACGAAATACCTGAATAAACGGTATCAAATGTGTTATTCCAGACTAGGTATAACCTATCTCTGAGCTAAATATCATCCAGATCCCTTCAGCTGTTCTGGCGTGATTGAGTAACATACATCTATCCATCCAAACTTTCGCATTTATAATATTTAGATAATAATTGTAATTAGTTCTGCCTACCTATAAATTGTTTTCAAAAATACTTACCTGTCTTCTTACTTTTTTTATATACACACAATATCACTAGATGTAAACACATGTTTTTATCAAGACAAGTGACCCGTCAAGACTGTTTCCTTAGTACCGACGTACTTAGGCAGGTAGGTAGGCAGTTTACATTTTAGTGTCCACGACGCAACGACAGTTTGTCAAATTTTGTTGTATAGTAGGTTATGGGTATTTAGGTAATAACAGTAGGTAGGTACCTATCCACCGAACCGTCAACGCCGCGCAAGTGATTCTCGTCCCACCTGTCCGCGCAGTAACTTTTTTTACGACCGCGCGAGACTGTCGCAACAAAAACGATTACTACTGAAAAACTAATATAGGTACCTACCTAACATTCAAATAAAAATATTCTCAAAAAGCTCAACGAATTCAGAATTTAATTTTGTTAAAAGAAAATTGGTCAAATAAAAAATAAAGGATGAAAATAAAGCATATGGGGATATAAAAATAAATCGTATTTATTTTTTATTTCGAGTTTTACAAGAAAAGTATAATATTTACTGGAGACAATTATTTTATTATTATAATAGTACATGATATTCCCTTTAAAATGACACCAATATGAATAATATCTTATATCTATATCTACAAATAAATAAAATTGAAGTGTCTGTTTGTAATGTTAAAACAACAGCTTTTTATTAAATGCATATGAAAGTACTAGTAACAAAAACACAATTTTTAAAATTTTTATCTGTCTGTCGGTCTGTCTGTCTGTCTGTTTGTTCCAGCTAATCTCCGAAACAGCTGGATCTATTTTGACGGGACTTTCACTGGCAGATAGCTGATGATATAAGGAATAACTTGAACTACTTTTGTTTTAGAAAAAGAATTAGGGTTCCGCGCAAAAAAATTAAAACCCATGAAATCCATATTCCACGCGGGCGAGATCGCGGGGAACAACTAGTACTCAATATAGATAGGTAAATGTATACTTATTTTTATTTATTTATTATTTTAATAAATAAATAAAAATAAATATTAATAATTTCTAGACACATCTCAACAGATATTTCGTTAATAAATTGCTATCAGTACTGAAGCATTCTTTTATATTTAGCATCCATTTAACACAAAAAACTGATAAGAATACTTTTTAAACAACATATAATCAATAAACGATAATCGCGTATAGTGAATTTCGAGGTAAATTATTATATGTAAACGTTTTTGAATCGTCGTAATGATACATATTTCCAAAAGAAAATATCTTCACAATTAATTTGATGTAAAATAACATTAGAAATAACGTGTAAAAACGGAGAAATTATCAAATTTTTGATCGAGTTCCTAACCAGTACACAAACAAAAATGGCGAATAGTCATTTTCACATTTTTTTTAGAAATAACGTATAAAAACAGAAAAATTATCAAATTTTTGATCGAGTTCCTAACCAGTACACAAACAAAAATGGCGAAATGTCATTTTCACATTTTTTTCTATATAGTTATTTGTTACAGAGTACACAGATAAAATTCACTCTCATAGATGACAAATTTCAAACACCACAATCTCTAATTTTTTACTCTGCTATCTTCAGCGCTGTACACGAACGGAACGATGTCGTTGAGAGCCGTGGTTGCTCACATGGTTAGCGCTCGTTATAAGTATCACAGTACGGGAGCAACCCGGGTTCGATCCCCACTGGCACCAATGAAATTGTTGCGTGCTGGTATTTAGCTATCAGTTGGAAAGTCTGTTTTTCTGGGCCGTTTTGTTTTGTTACACTGACATCTCGCAAGTCACCTAGGGACCTAGGAGGTTGTCGGTTGCTTATTTTTTATTTTTCTTTAAAATTTTCGTCGGTAAAATAATATATTTATAAAAGTAAAAAAAAGTAAAGTTACAGCCTATATACGTCCCACTGCTGGGCACAGGCCTCCTCTAATTTCTGAGAGGGTTTTAAGGCAAGGAAATGTCCGCCACGCTGCCTCAATGCGTGTTGACGAACTTCACATGTCTTCGAAATATATATTTTTTAATTTCTCAGACATGCAGACCCGAGTTCGATCCCCCGCCTGCACCAATGAAATTGTTAATTGCAATTGTGCTGATTTACCACGTGCTCGGCGGTGAAGGAAAACATATTGAGAAAACCTGCACGTCTGAGAATATAATTATAATCGAATGTAAATCAAATTGACATAGGTAAGTACAGATAAAATTAGCGGAACATTAATAAAATTTTGAGATCGTTTTTTTTTTCAAAATTTTATTTATATTCCGCTATTTTTGTCTGTGCTTATATCAATTTGATTTATAAAAATAATGTAACTTTTTTATCCACATCGTTCTTTACGCTATTTTCCTTACTTCTTATCTATTACGCTATGATAAGGCATAATCAAAATGTAGACAAAAAATATACACTTAATAAATATCAATAACTTTCGATAAGAACATGAGAATTTATGTATGAAATAACTCTTAATATAAATAATCTAGACTTAATTAATGTTTTTTATTAACGAATCAGAGAACATAGTTAAACATTAATTAATTAAAATATTTCACGCTAATAAATCCTAATATTAAATTGCTAATTTTCATACGTAATATGATGAAATATAATCAGGGAAGAGTTATGTGGTCGAGCCCTCATTACTTGTGTTGCGTTGCCTGCAAGGCTACCGTTGATGCTGTCGTGCACACCAAGGAATACTTTATACAGGTGGTAAGTCATATTGCAGTCCATGTATCCATGTAAACAAAGGCTACGGATGTGCTTTGAGTCCTGAGATGAATTGCTCCACAGCCTGCTATTACTGTTGTGGAAGGAAAGAAACTCTTTTTTCGTCCGTATGATGTTTTCTTTGTTTAAAGTTGGTTTCAGGTGTTCATGGACTACTGTATCCACTCACTATCAGTTGGAATGTAAGTTCACTTGCCATTTTAGCTTTAAACAAAAACGAATTGGAAATATTCTGTATTTTATTTACGGATTCAAAATATTTTCGACACATATTCTTTCTGCTGTTGTCTGTACATTTCTGACATACAGGCAATAAAATGTTTTGTTTGAATTTTTTTTAAATATTTTCTAAATCTTTTTGCTAATGAAATTTTTAAATTATTAGGCCAAGAAAATTAAAGCAAATAATTTTAACAGTGCTCTCTTGATATTAAAGTTACATTGTAAAAAAATTCTAAAACTTTGCTGTATAAGGTCTCGTTAGAAGCTGTGAAATTCCATCCGCCGAAACGTGAATCGTTGTATTAATAGACGTATGGGAACAACTTGTCGACATCAAAATCGTGGAATGTACATATCAACTATCGATTTAGATTTCTAGCTAGACGTAATTAATAATAAAAATTACATAATATATCATATGCCTATATTACTAAATTACACTATCATCATCATTGTTATCATCACCATCATCATGATCCCGTTAAGATCTGCTGGTAGACATAGGCCTTGCCCGTTGCAGGGATAATTCGCTTTAACCGTTACGCTTGGAAGGCGAATTCCGAAGAGCTAGCAAACACGTCTACAATTGTCACCTTCATCACAAGACATACGATTTCTTAATAAAAAGCTATATTTTCAAACCCCGCTAAAACATAATATTATGTATTAGAATAGAATTAGGATTATATACTATGCTTACTAACGAAACCGCAAACTTGGATTAGAGCCAGCATGACAGTGATGAATTCATGCATTTATTTGTGTGTTCGTTAATAAATCACATTTTACTAAAAAACAATCAAATTACACTGACCGCTTTGGAGTTTTAAGCGCGCTTTTTGTTGTGTATTTTTTGAACATACTTAACAAAAACGAAAACTTAAAAAATAATATAACATTTCAGATTAACATTCCCTTGCGGCAAGGTATTTCCGCAAAGAGAGCACGACGTGTTCCACATGCTTCATTGGTCTAATGTGATTGCGGTTGACACAAAGCTTTTATAGTATGCGGAGAAACGATTTAAGTGCTTTGCTAAATATTTTCACTAGGCATGATTTATTTTTTATTATAAAATTTTACAGAAATCGAATGCCGTATGGCTTTTTCTTTCATCGTGTCGTAGTTTGAATTCTAACCTCACAGTTTTTATTTGAACAAAACATAAATTATTGTCATATGCTTTATCTTGATGTATTTCATGAGATTTGTCAGAAAAATGCTTCAAGTTAACTATGGATTTAATTTTGAATGATTGAATTTGAAATAATTTCAGCCAATAAATGTAGGATCTTAAGTAAATCTTAGAAGAACATGAACCGACTCTTGTCTCTGAGACCGCCATAATAATTTAATTCGTGCTTAAACGATTATAAACACTGAATAAGAATAATTTAAGCATAAATATTTAAAGTTAATAATAATGCGACAAAGATTATTAATGCTAAGTATGTATGCTAAGTATATGGATGTGTAGCAGGTGAGAGAGGTGTGTCAGGATCGTACCAATTGGAACACTGTAGTGTCTGTCTACCCCACTGGGTAACAATCCTGCGAGCTTATGCATATATTATACGAATGAAAAATCAGCCCTTAATTAGCCCCGCTTTACACTTTTATCGATATACATCACTTAGCACTTTCTTCATAAATTCTATCTATAGGGCGAAAACAACGAACGATTCATTTGTTAATCCTGTTAACACCATCTTCTTGCAAAGCACACTTTTATCTTATCACACAATTTTTCACCTTAACATTAAGAGTTCATCCAAACAAAATTAATTTAGAACCACATTTCTACAGTTTTCATTTATGTATTACATTATGACTTTGCAAAATAGAGTGTAAAGCCCAATTTACTCTGTTTCGTACATTCACTCTTCATACCATTGCCATGTATTCTGCATCCTTGTCATGGCTGCTATCCCTGGTGAACACTTGTACCGGATACACAAATTCATCCACTTGTTCAAACAAATTTTCGAAAATATAATTTTCGTCTTACTTGCGTTCATTTTCATTCCCCTTTCTTTTAGTAATAAGTTTATTAAAGTAACCATCATTTGCAATTTGCCCGCTGACGACGATAATATGATTTGATCGTTGGCGTACATGAGGCATTACACTACTAACTTATTCCTTACTCACATTTTCGACTGTTAAAGTCTCCAAACAACTAGACTAATGCTTGGCTAGTACATCTAGCCGTGTTTGCTTCTATGTTTCAATAATCATATCTTACTTATTATTACCACGTAATTCGTTTATTTCATTCGCAAAACATCTCTTAACATTTTCAACATAGTCTCCAAGTGTGCATCTTAGCATAATAATATTTACATTCTCCTTATATTTTATAACATTTCCGAAAATTGCTCTCTGATATAAGTGTGCTTTGACATGTCTGGGGCGTAAAACCTCGAAACAAACTACTTCTTTAAGCCTATTTCCATTCGTATTTAGAGCAGATTCGGACTTCGCTTATGCATTAACTTTTTAACACTATTATCCCTTTATACTGATATATAGAATGAAACCTACTCCCAGGCATACCCAATATCAGTTTTATATACACCAGCCATTTCCTTTTTGCGCGGTTCATTGTGGGAAAAGGGTGACGGATTGTATTGTCGCTTACACACGATTCGAGCCACTATATCGTTGTTCCGCTTTGTCGCTCGTTTAGCACTACTCAGGGAACACGTTTATGTTGGGCTTGGATTAAACGGTCACAGTCTACGAACATGAGCAAACCATATACCATGATGTTTTAATAATCAGATAAAAGTTATTAAAAGGATATAATACAACATGAACAAATAAAATATGTCTATTTCAATAATTCAATTGTTTTACTTTTATGTTTTTTATAGGAGAGGGGGCAAACGAAAATACGGCTCACCTGATGTTAAGTTACTACCACCGCCCATGAACCAAGCTAACTGTTTACGTGGAAAACGAATACCCTCGCATTTTGTTCAGTTTGTTAATAATTAGCCGGTACAGTCTCCTATCAGAATAGTTTCCCTTCCGCATAGGCATAAAAGGGGGGTTAGATCGGTGGCGTCATTTTTTCGCCCAATGGGAGACGCGTGGTACTTCGATAGAGGTGGGAACGGCCGAGGAAGAAAACGACGAGCGCTGCCGCCGCTCGTTCAGTTGCAACGCAATGCCACCAACCTCTAAGTCTGAGTGAGAAGCCGTCAACAGTCCAACCCAAGTTAGTGTCTGTTTCTTTAGATCTTGAGCTGTTTTTTTTGTGTTTTTTATTGTCCATGTTTTTCCACCGTACCGGCTAATATAGTAAATTAGGTTATACAAGTGTATTGTCCAAAACTCGCCCCGTGCCAAGTCCACAATTTGTTTGATTTATAACGAACCACGCTAAATACAGTCCAACTTATTCATTCCCGCAGCAATTAATTTTGGGGTCATAATTCCCGGAATCGAACCCAGGAACCCAGTAGCTCCACAGTAACAACAGGGGAATTGCAGGTGCGTTCTCGAAATTTTAGAAAGGATTAAGCTCTCTTCTTGAAGGTCCCTAAGTCGTGTCGGTCCTGAAAAATTTCCAGTGGTAAACTTTCCACAGAGAGGTCGTACGCGGAAGAAAACTCCTAATGAAACGTACAGTGTTGGAACGCCAAGCATCCAGATGGTGTATAGTATCGGAAATTTTGCCACGATGTATGTTCATTAAATTTGGCGACTGTGGTCAAGTGGAAAGAGCTGGCACTTTAAAGCCCAGCCCAGATATGGGAGATGAGAATCCGCACCGGCACCTTGTAAAGTTGCAGGGCTTGCGCCAGCGTGAAATAGTGTCACGCCGCTCTACTGAGCACGCCAAGCTTTTTAGAGGCCAATTTGGGCTTCTCTTCCAAGTGACGACGAAACTGCATGTCACTCGATTTGTCGACACTGAGGATTCCGATACTGGCTGAGACAACAAGGGGATTACCTTCAAACTGAAGTGAACGACTAAGGGGTTCTTATAGCGGTAAACGCGCAAACTTGTGTCTTCTGAGGATTAAACTGGACTAGATTTGGTCGCCCGCAATCCGAGAATTTGTTCAGCAAAGACTCGTCTTTAGACACAAGTTTGTCCCGGTACACGGAGATGTTTTTCCGAGAAATATTGGCATGGCCGGTGTATAGGGAACGCCAGTGCTGTCATCCGCATAGCAATTAATGTTACCGATTGGCAACATTTCATTGATATGCAGAAGTAACAGCGTTATTGATATCACGCAGCCTTGTGGAACGCCAGCATTAATAGGCTTGTAATCGGAGCATGCACGGTCTACAACGACCTTGATGCTCCGATCTGCAAGAAAGCTGGTGATCCAATTGCACAATTTCTAGGAAAAACCATAAGAAGGAAGCTTCGAAAGAAGCACTTTGTGCCAAATCCGATCGAAGGCTTTCACAATGTCCAAACTAATGGCCAATGCCTCCCCCTTGGACTATACTGCCTTCGCCTTTCTATGAGGCAGGTAGACCAGAAGATCACAAGCTGATCAACCCAGACGAAAACCGTATTGGTGGTCACTAATCAGTTGATGATCCTCAAGGTACCGCATTTGCTGGCAGTTTATAATGGATTCCATTATTTTGGAGAACAAGGGGGTGATGGCGATTAGCCAGGATTTAGACGGATCTGAGCGATCGCCTTTTTTAGGGGTCGGGTGGACGAAAGCCGTCTTTCGTGATTTTGTTACTA